CCCCAGGACATGTGAAGAAGCCAGTGTGTAGGGGAAACTGTAGCCACGCCTACTTAGGGGCTGGCAGGTGTACCTGACCATGCTTGCAAGGGCGTGGTCAGGGTGACATAGAGTGAGACTTTCAGGGGACTGCGTTTCTGTTTCGGTTTCACTTTTGTACTTGCTGGACAAACTGCTGCCACACCGGCTGGCTAGGTTGCTCTGTAAGTAAGGATTTTCCCTATTAAATACCCTTGTATTTCTACCTGACTCTGTATGGTAATTTCCCACTATATCTGGTTGTCAGGAGCGGGATATTGGAAACCTACACCCTACATTTGGGACAGGCTGTGGGTCCCACCAGGCCTGCGGCCTAGGCTGGGAAAGGTCCCTCTCTTCACAGGTGCTCCCGGCTCCCAGCCAACCTGCTGCTGCTGAGCTGCTCCCAGCTTGGAGACTCACCCAGGCCTCCAGGTGTGGGTAGGCAGCAGTCCGAGCTGGTCCCGAGCGCACAGTGGCTAAAGGGGGAACTGTAGGGGAAGCTGTAGCCAGCCCCTAAGTAGGTGTGGCTACAGTTTCCCCTACACCAGTGCTAAGGGTAGAAAGGTAGATGCCAGTTAGGTTTTGTGGTTCCTCTGTGGTTCCTCCAGGCTGACAAGGAGAGAGGTAACCTCAGGTTGGTGATGAACTTCAATCCTCAGCCTTTCCCTGTAGAGAAGGGACTGCCCTCTTTGTGAACTTGCGTCCTGCTGCCGCTGAGCCCCACCGCCACATGTGAGCTTTACGACAGCCACCCGCCCGAGTTAGGCCCAAATGAATACACAGAGAGACTTGTATCAGTTACAAAGCTGCTTGGCCAATGACTAGGATTCTCATCTGTTAGCTCAGTCTCAATTATCATACATCTATATATTTTATAAGTCTTTCTTATCGGACGCCTTATTGGCGTCCCTCCTAGCTGGTGGATCACATCGTGCCGCTGGAGCAGGAGCCGAGGGGAAAAGAGGGTGACACTTCCTTTTTCCTCTTCTTAAATATGTCTCCTTGCTATGTCACTTCCTGTCTGGAACACCACGTCTCTACTACATTTCCCAGAATCCTCTTTGACTCCTAGTCCAGCCTAACCTGCTGTCTCATTGGCCAAGCAAGTACTTTATTTATAAACATACACAGAAGTATTTCCCCCCATCAGTCATAGCAGGGAGCTTTTCTTGTTTCTGCTTCTCAGCCTCTGGCTTACAATCAATCTCAGTACAAAGCATACTTTGGCATGGCAGACAGGGCTACCATGCATCGGGATGAGAGGCTACTGAAATGGGGTCCTACCTCACATAATCTACTGGGGAGAGAGAGAAATGACATGGTACTAGAAGACTGACTGATGCTACAGTCCACTGAAGAAGGTATGTGTCTGTGATAATATAGGGAATATTCTAAACACACCCCAGGCTACACAAAGAGCCCTCTAGTTAGGAACTAATAAGACTCCTACCAAGATCTCAGGTTCAGGGATAGAGAGTGAAGAGTACTTGCTGTTCAACTTCTAGCACCCATGTGGCAGCTCACAACCACCTGTAACTCAAGTTCCAAGGGCTCCAACATCCTCTCCTTGCCTTTGCCGACACCAAGCACACATGTGGTACATGCAGGACACACATAAACTAAAATCTTAAAAATTGGACGTGAAAATATATAAGCATCTCAGGTTCATTAGCAAATGATACAACATAAAGTACCTTCAGTAAGAAGCCCAAATGGAATGCAAGTCTTAGTCTCTATTCATATCAATTAGCCTGAGAACCTACTCCCTCATTTTAGCTCTATCTCCAAAAGTGTGTACTGAGGATAAAGCAAGATGACCGGTAAACAGAACTATGCATACATACAGCACTCTGGCACTTGCCAGCATGTGACAGGCCGGTAGTGCAGAAAAGAAAAATAGAGGTGAAGCAGTGGCATCTTCATGGGCTGTGAAGCCCAGGGCTGAGGATGGCTCAGCAATTTAGAGCACCAGTTGCTCTTCTAAAGGACCCAGGTTCAATTTCTAGCACCTGCATGGTGGTTTGCAATCATCTATAACTCAAGAGGATCCAAGGATTCTTTGGACCTCAGCCAGCATCAGGCACACACACGATGCACAGACATACAGACAAAACACCCATATACATAGAAATGACACTTTTTAAAACTGGGAGAAAAAAACCCACACAGAAGGCCCTTTGAAATGGTTATAATATTTTGAGTCATAGCTAATGGGAGAGATCCTTCTGTTTCTCTTATTGGTTGATGAATAAAACACTGTCTGGCCAATGAGGCAGGAATATAGGTAGGACTAGGAGATGAGGAGAATTCTGGGAAAGGTAGGCAAGAGAGCCCTCCAGAGATAGTCACCACACATAGGACTGGGAAGACAGGACTCATCAGGAGTTCTCCAGTAAGATAAGACCATGTGGAAATATATACATTAATAGAAATGGGTCATTAATTAAGACAGAGCTAGCCAATAAGAAGCCCTAGTCATTGGCCAACAGTTCAATAATTAACATAGCATCTCTGTGTGTTCATTTGGTGCTGTCAAGGGCTGCAGGACCCTTGCCGGGCCAAGAATCTCCTGCAACACGTAACAGTAGAAAAATCTAACCTAGTGTGTTCCTGTAACTAAAAATCCTTTTAGGGTGTATGTCTAGAGCCTGGTGTGGCAACACACGCATGCCTGTAATACAACATTGGAGGAAAGTTCAAGGCTAACCTGAGCTACATAATGAGAGTCTGTCTCAAAAGATGAACTGTCTCCAGAGTGGGAGGGAAGCTTGAACAGGAAGACTTGGGAGCTTAGCAAGGATGAGTTTGAGAACTGGGATGGGACAAAGCAGATAAAGCCCACAGTTAAGGCAGAGCAAGAGCAACAACTAAGCCAGTACCAAGCCATGTGTGACTGCTGTTTTGTTTTTAAGGCAGAACCACAGTGGGAACAGAAATTTGAAAGATTCCTCTGTACAAAGTCAGGTACAATGCAGGATATCTGGTACATAGAAACAAACAAACAAACAGACAAAGGATATAGACAGAAAACTCCTTAGAAAGCTTAGAGGGATACAGCTAATCTTCAGCTTGAAAGCTGCTGAGTTTCAGTCCAGATCTTAATAGCCTGGAATGCTCATTGCAGAGTGCCAACAGTATCCAGATATCATTACAAGTGCCTTTTACATGTTTTACTCAACACTTATAGCTACTCCAGGGTAACACTATTGTTCACGTCTGTGGGTGGGACGACTCAGGCCTAACTTGCTATGGCTAAATGCCAATTGGTATTCAAATCTAGCCAAGCCAAGCTGGCCTCAGACAGAACTGAATGCACTTGTTGAAATGGCCATTTTGTGTATGAAGCACAACTGCCCTGGATAATTGTAAGAACTAAGTGACGATAGAAATAAAGGGAGGGGAAAGAAGGGAAAATGAGATGAAGGATCAAGTTAAAGAGGATTTAAGTGAGGTGTGGTGGTGCACACCTGTGAGATCAGCACTCAGGAGGCAGAGGCAAATGCTTGCCAGAAGAGGGAAACTAACCTGGACTACAGAATGAGACCCAGTCTCAAGAAAAAAAAAAAATAAAAAAATAACTAAGCAAGGCAGCTGTTTAAATGCTTGCCTTACAGACATGAGGGCCTCAGTTCTACACCCCCAAATTCACATGAAAAAATGCTGGGCATGGTGATCCATGATTGCAAACCAAGCACTGGGGAGGCAGAGCAGGTGAATCCCCGGGAGCTTGCAGTCCAATCAGCCTAGCCTACTTGGTAATTTTCAAACCAGTGAGAGACCCTTCACAAGAAAAGGAACATGGCACCTAAGAAACAAAAGCCAAGGTTGGTCTAGCCTCCATGTGCAGGCATGCATGTGTGTACACACACAAACACAGAGAGGGGTGGGGGGGAGAGGAGGAGGCAAGGCTAAATGATTTCCCAAAAGGTGGTTAATTATTCCAATGGACTCTATAAATGTAAGAAGCTGAGAATAATTTCAAATGAAATCCTGAAAAGCTTGCTTCAAGTTTAATGCTTGTTTTCCATTTAATTAACAAGCCAAGCTATATCTACAAGCACAAAATTAAGTTTCTGATATTAACCTTTCACCCCCAAAAGATAAACAAACTTTAAAAATAATCTCTGATGAAACTGACAAGTAAACTAAGCAAGTTTGTCCAAGTAATTTCAGTCTAACCATTTCCTAAGTAAACAGTGAGCAATGTATAAACAATGTATGAGCAATAAAAAAAAAGCAATGCTTTTTATAATGCTAAGTGAAAGAAGCCAGACACAACAGTTCTTCCACCATATGACTCCATGTCTATGAATTTCTAAAAAAAGAACTGATGTGAGAAAACAAATCACTGTTTGCCAGGGATCAGGGATGGGAGAAAGGGACTTGACACAAAGGGCCATTGCAAAGGGCCATGATGTGGACAACTGTGTATGATGTATAAGTCACTGCACAACGAAGACTGGTGAATTCTACTGTTTGTTTTCTAAATAGAGAAAGAAAAAAGGACATAGAGTTGGACAGATGGGGAGATCTGAGAGGAGTTGAGGAGGGGAAAACCATGATCAGAATATATTGTATGAAATTTCTTTCAATTAAAAAATGTATAATTTTTGAGTACATATTATCAACATGCTTTTCAAAGAATCCTTTCAGTCAAAATATTTTAGAAGCCAGGCAGTGGTGGTCTACACCTGGTCTACAGAGTGAGTTCCAGAGCTACACAGAGAAACCCTGTCTCGAAAAACCGAGATAGATAGATAGATAGATAGATAGATAGATAGATAGATAGATAGATGGATGATATGTAGGTGGATGGATGGATAGATTGATATAGATAGATAGATAGAGAGAAAGAGAGATAGATTGATTGATTTTAGAGTCTAAATGTTTAGCTCAATGGCAAAATGCCTGCCTACTATAAGTGAAGGCCTGGATTCAGTCCTCAGCACTAAAGAAAGAAAAAGAAAATCACCTTGGTTAAAAAAAAAAAAATTTATTTGTATAAAACCTATATTCTAAACAGTTTTCTATAACTATAAGCAGTGTTTAATTCTTGACATCCTATAAGAAATATCTTGAAGTCGTCTTCTAGAAAAAGGCAAAAATAAAGAGTGCTTAAACAGTGACCCTAAATTCAATGGAAACATTCCCAAACTATCCAAACTGTTCAACCCATACACACGCCAACTACCTGGCCAGCATTTTTTCTGATATAGCAGAGGCTGCAAATTCAGGCCAGACAGGAGCCATAGAGATAACCCAAGGAAGCAGCATGGCAGAAGCTGCACACTGGGAGACTGGAGAGCACATGGCCCTTCCCATCCGAGCTGCCACCACTGGGTACTGCAAGTTGATGCCACACAAGGACACAAGTTCCAATGGAGCTGGAGTTTCTGATGTTTAAACACGTGTAGACAACTGGACTTGGGTTAATACTTTCTGACTCTTTCTGGAATGAGTCTTCCATTTATTTTTTAACACCACCAAATAAACAATATCCACAGGCAAGTTCATGACCTGGAGTCCACAGTACATGCTTTCAAAATTTGTCTTGTAGCAGAGACAGGTCTTTCCACTAATTGCTTACCTCTTTAATTGTAGAGAATCTAGAATGGTGTGGGATATTAGTGCAACTGAAGTTAGGATTCATCTCAAAATCGCCGGAAAGAAGTCACTTGTTGAAAAGCCAAAGTCTATGTACATTTCTGAGCACAGTGGTGTAAAAGTTCACACATCTAACCACACTGAGTGATACAAGGAGAAATGGGTCTGATGGAACTGGGGAAATGCAGCCCAACTTTTACAGTCAGCGTCCAGACTGCAGAGCAAGGAAATAATCCACATGCTGAAACTTGAGGACCTCGTTGCCCCAACTCATCCAACCTGGCTGTAAATTTCGAGCAAACAATTCTAAACACTGCCCACCTGGCTTGATGTAGTCTTTCAGTACTTCTGCCCAAAAAGAAAAGAAAAAAATCAGTTATTAAAAAAGAAATGTTTCCTTTTTAAAAGCAGGGAAGGGCAGAAGAGGCAGATACTGTTTTTAAGACAGACAGTGAATTAAGAGTCAGGCATGTCATGTCGGCTCTGCTAAAGGAACAAGCACCTGCAGGCTTGGAAGCAGCACCATTGCACCTGCACTAGTTCTGATTTACGGCTTTTCATTTGCAGATGAGAAACAAGGGCATTGACTGCCCACATACCTGACTCTCTAGTTTTCCAATACTGCTCACCCCTCTCCTGAGAATTAATTTACTTTATTTTTTAGTAAATGCAATCCATGCATTTAAAAACAATATAAAGACAATCTGCTTAAAAATGAAGATAAACTATAAGTCTAGTTTTAGCACAACTTTAGTGAAATAATTAAGCAAAGAGTTGTATACAGGCAGGAGTATTCAAAAGTTGTAACTACTGCCCCATAGCTGAAACTTGGAAGTTCTAAGTCTATTCCCACACTATATAGTTCTTTGCCTAAATTTCACCATGCTATTTCCAGTTAAGGAGCCCTAACTTATGTATTCTTAACTACTACACTGAAAAATCATCTTTTTTGGAGAGAAGACATTTCATTTAGATTAGTTAAGTAACTGTGGTCCATACTGCCTGGGAGAAAGGAAAACCACGGCAACTTATTTTTAAAAAAGCACTTGTCCACTTAGAAGACAAACAATTAAATCATTCTAACCCTGATTGTGTTCTGGTTGCTCTACTAACCACATAACAGGAATTTGGTATAAAAATGGTTCCAAGAAGAAAGAGCTTTAGCAAGCAGAGTACAGTTCATAGTTGCTATGTTAGACTGACCTTAGAAGAAGCCTGTCAAATTCTAAGAATAACAAACAAGGCTTCTGCAGGATTTTTCTGTTTTGCTTGGGAAGTAAGAATCCAGCCCACAGCCTGTACATGCTAGACAGGCACTCCATCTCTGAGGTTTACCTACAGCCTCGTGGCTTCTTTGGGAATAATTGAGAGGTTTAAAAGATAACAACTGTAAAGTTAGAAAGATAATATAGCAGGGGTGATCCAGAAGGAGTTGGGGAGAGAGGGGAAGTGAATACCATCAAAATACATCATATGAAACTCAAATAACTAACAAAATCATTATATTACTACTAAAAACATTTCAAGCTTCAGACTGTTCTTTGTCCAAGAGTAATATTCTTATTTGCCAAAAGTCAAAGATAAATTAAAAGCTGTTTTTGCCTGCAATTGAACTAACTCAAACTTAGGCTTTTTCCTGTAAGGAAAGCATGGGTTAAGATATAGTGACGTAAGGTTATGCTAACCACCCCCCCTTCTATTTTATAGAAGTTCATATAAGCTACGGTGCAGTGATACAAGATGGTGGTTTTACTTAGGCTCCAAAGTCTTTTGGCAAAGATGTTCTTGACGACATTGTCCCCTGGAGAAGGGGAAAGGATCACGATCCCCTGAGCTAATTAAGAGCATGGGAAGAGGGGGGAGGGAGCTATGAGAATGAGAAGGGAAGAAGAGGAAGGATTCAGAGGTCATGAGGGAGCAGAAAGGTTGAGTCAGGGGAAGAATAGAAGAAAGGGGATGTGATAGGTCGGGTTTTAGTTGGGGAGGGTGGTGGGGGGGACGGAAGGGAGAAGAGAACTGGGATTGTCATGTAAATCAATCTTGTTTCTAATTCAAATAAAAAAAGTGATTAAAAAAAAAAAAAAAGATGTTCTTGACGATGGGGCCGGAGAGACGGTTCAGCGGGTAACAGCTCTTGCTGAAGCTCTGAGATGAATGGGTCTCTGACTCTTGCCTGCTCTTGGGGCTCCTTTCCTCCTGTGGGGTTGCTATGTCCAACTTCAATGTGGTAGCTTTGCTTTAAATTATTGTATTTTATTTTGTCATGCTTGGTTGTTATCTGTTGGAGGCCTATTCTTTTCCGATGAGAGACTGAGGAGGAGTGGATCTGGTGGGAGGGGAGATGGAAAAGGACCGGAAGGAGTTGAGAGAGGGGAAACTGTGATTGGATGTACTGTATGAGAAGGGAATCTATTTTCAATAAAACAAAAAACAAAAAGCAAAAAGCAAAAAACACTTTCTGCTCTTACAGAGGAGCAGAATTGATTCCCAGCACCCACATGGTGGCTCACAACCATCTGTATTTTGGTTGAGGGGATTCAATGACCTCTCCTGGCCTCTGCAGGCATCTGGGAAGCATATGAGGTACAAACATGCAAACAAAACACCCACATATATAAATAATTTTTTAAGAAGACATATCTTAAGGTTTTGAAGCAAGAGAGAACAGTTCATGTTTTGAGAATACTTAAAACAGTTTAATAAGGTTCACAGGAAGCCAGGCGTTGGTGGCGCACACCTTTAATCCCAGCAAAACCCTGTCTTGAAAAAAAAAAAAGAAAAAAAAATTCACAGGAAAAAGATATATAGATATATAGATATATAGATATATATAGAGATATATATCATTCACACCCCCAGAGTTATGATTTCACTGTGAAATTTCCACAGGAATCTTTGAATCACTTTCTCATGGCTTTAACTTGTACCTCTCTATAGGCAAAACATACACTAAACTAATCTGAGCTCAGAAACAAAGTACTGCAAATACTTCATGCATATCACTATGTAGCCGAAGCTTGAAGATTTATATTAAGTCATTCAGATTTTCCCCACAAACACAACTGAGTTGAAATGTTTGCAGTTCTAAAACGTGCCTGTGCTGCTCTCTAGAGGCAGTACAGCAGAACTGCACATTGTAGACTATTCAGGGCCAGACTTAAGTCACTGTCTTTAAATCTTTTCTCTTAAGAATAATTTTTAAATGTATTTTTACTCTATTGCAAATGAAATGACAAATAGATTAAAAGTAATCTCAGAATGAAAGGCTTGGAGTCTTAGATGTCTTTGTAAATCTTTTCAGCAAACTATAAACCCTAAAACAAATGACTTACAGTTAAGCTTTGGTACATACCATACCATACCAACAAAACTAAAGTATACAAATTGTATTTCCTTAAAGTACAACTGGTGTTAAATTTTTTTCAAGGAACAGTAGAGTTCACTTTCATCTAGGTCACAAACTAATGCACTAGCATTTATGCAGTCCTACGTGTGAGGTTTCAGAGGATCCTTCTAAGACAAAGAATAAATAGTCAAACAATGCCAGGTGTTGGTGACGCATGCCTTTAATCCCAGCACTCAGGAGGCAGAGGCAGGCGGATCTTTGTGAGCTCTAGGCCAGCCTGGTCTACAGTTCCAGGACAGGCTCCAAAGCTACACAGAGAAACCCTGTCGAAAGAAAGAAAAAGAGAGAGAGAGAGAGAGAGAGAGAGAGAGAGAGAGAGAGAGAGAGAGAAAGGAAAGAGGGAGGGAAGGAGGGAGGGAGGGCGGGAGGGAGGGAGGGGAGGAAGAGAAGAAGAAGAGAGCCAAACACATCTGAGTTTCTCAAATTAAAGGTACTGTAAAGACTCCTTTGAAAAGTTAGTCAGGGTAACAGAAATCCTGAGTTCACTTTCTTTTGTTTGTTGTGTGTGGGGGTGTGTTATCTGTGTTACATAGGTGTGATACAAGCACTCAGCATGTAAGTACCAGAGTGTAGTGCCAAGGTCAGAGTAGGTATTCTCCATCACAGCTCTCTGAGCCTTATTCCCTTGAGACAGGTTCTCTCATTGAACTGGAAGCATAGTATCTGGCTAAACTGGCTGGTGAGCCCCTGATGATGGGGCTGCAGGCACACACACAGCAGTGCCTGGCTTTTTGCAGGGATGATGGGGGACTTGTACTCATGCTAGCTGAGCAAGCACTCTGACCCACAGAGCCCTCTCCCTAGCTCCCCTAAGTCCACTTTCTTATGTTTTCTTTTTCTAACTCACAAACTATATCCTGCAAAAGAAAAAAAAAATAGGCCATAGTTTTTAAGTAGTAGTGATCAAATTAATAAACTATCTTCCTGAAGAAGTTATCTAAAAAAGAAACCTGCAATATCAAATTCTGGTTCCCAAGGACTTCCATGAATAAGCCTTTAAACTCCCACTTGAAAAAAAATTGACCGTTTATTGACTTTTAAATACACTGTAAATAGCGAAAGCAATTCTTACCACTCTGCAGTGTTAGATATCATTACTCACTCTGAGAATAAGGGTGGCAAAGAAAAGATACAGGTAACCAGCCAGAGCAGCAGAGTCAGAAGTCACATGCAAGTGACCCAATGCCTGAGGCCAGCACTCCCCACTAGCCCTTGCTGCTCAGTTCCCCTGAGTGAGGGGCACAGCACTGAGCATTCCAGCCTGAGGGAACGGCAGCCTCAGCTGCCTCCCCATGTTCAACAATAGTAGCCTGCCTTTGGGAGACATACAATCACCACGTTCAGATGATCCTAGACATCTCTTCTACTAGGCTGGGTTCCTGGTTTTAGGACAAGCAAGGGATTTGCTGGGTCTGAATCCTAAACCTGAGTGCAAAACAAGGCCACTCACTGACCTACATCCTCTGAGGCCCCAACAGCCTTCATCTATCAAGGCTACTACTGGAGGGACAAAGATGGTAAAGAAAAGCTGGGAAAGGTGCTGAAGGACAGCTGAGGTAACGTGCTCTATTTCATAAGTTCTGCAATGAATTTTCTACATTTCAGAATATTAAAACAAACATCTAATTCACAAACCTACTAAATTCAGTATTCATTCAAATACTAAATTCAGTCCTTTGGGTATTTTCAAAGCCCTTACAGCTCTGCCTCACAGACACGTACCGGCAAGAGGTGGCTTGTGTGAGTGAAGAATGCAGGGCACGCTGACGATCAACTTCTGATCTGGGACAGGGGACACTTTCACACCTGTGCTCCTAATCGACAGAACAAGGTAACAAACTATTACTTAAAGGATCATTTTTTAATTATATGCTATAGTTGCATCTTTTTTTCTCTTTTAAATAGTAATTAATTTTATTAATTACTATTTAAAAATTCAAACACTTTTAGAATGTCATTTTTCTTATCAACTACTATAGTTTGGATAAAATGAAAGTTAATATAAAATTTTTAGTTATTATAGAATTTATACTTTTCAGCTCTAGGCCATTTTTAGATTTCAAAAGTATAAAAATTTTAAAAAATCCATGATCACTGTACTAATTTTAAAAGCCTGTAGTTATATAATCTTGAAAAATCACTTTTCTTACCTTAACACTGAAGCAGCTTTTTCTCGAACTCTCCCCAGGACAAGACATTCATAAGGCTTTTTGTGTGGAGAATCCAATGGGAACACGAACTCCCCTGAATGGGTGATCTGAAAGGAAGGAACCATGGAAAGCCATTTTTTTTTTTACTGTCATTATACAGTTTCCAAAAAAAAAAGAGAGAGAGAGAAAGAGAGAGAAGCTATTAAACATCCATGCTAGGATTGTCCAATAAAAAATAATGTATGGGGGCTGAAGAGATGGCTCAGAGGTTAAGAGCGCCGACTGCTCTTCCAGAGGTCCTGAGTTCAATTCCCAGCAACCACATGGTGGCTCACAACCATCCATTATGAGATCTGGTACCCTCTTCTGGTGTGCAGATATACACGGAAGCAGAATGTTGTATACATAATAAAAAAAATAAAATAAAATCTTTAAAAAAAAAAGTATGAGCTACAAATGCAAGCCACATATATAATTTTAAATTCTCTAGCAATAATATTAGAAAGAAGGTTTTAAAAAAGAATGCAGGGTAATGAATTTTAGTTGCATTTAATCTAGCATGTCTAAACAGTATTTCCACATGCAACCAGTTTTTAAAAGGTACCATAATATATGACATTCTTTCCTCCATAGTGGGTCCTTCACGTCCAACATACAATAACACTCAACAGCACCTCTCTATTTGAAGGGCACAAATCAAGTGCTAGAGAGCTACATGTCACAGTGACTACCATACTGGACAATGTACCTATAAGGAATGTTTTAAAACTCACATAACATGGATATTTTAAATATATTGTGTTATGTCCAGCTACTGCATGCTTCTGCCTCCAGGTGTTTCCCCTCCCTGACTGTACCCCCTTGTGACCCCAACTCCAGGTGTTTCCCCTCCCTGACTGTACCCCTTCATGTCCCAGACTCCAGGTGTTTCCCCTCCCTGACTGTACCCCTTCATGCCCCTGACTCCAGGTGTTTCCCCTCCCTGACTGTACCCCTTCATGCCCCTGACTCCAGGTGTTTCCCCTCCCTGACTATACCCCTTTGTGACCCTCAACTCCAGGTGTTTCCCCTCCCTGACTATACCCCTTTGTGCCCCGGACTCCAGGTGTTTCCCCTCCCTGACTGTACCCCTTTGTGACCCTCAACCCAGGTGTTTCCTTTCCCCAACTGTAGCCCTTTCAGTTGCTTCTTGTCAGGTACTTGTTCACAAGAAAAGTAACTTAACACCTCAGTTCAAAGAATTAAAGACTTAACTTTAAAAGACAAAAAAAAAAAAAAATCCAGATATGTATCTAAAAAGAAAAAAGAAAAAGAAAATATTGTGTTATCATCTTTCACATAAACAATCTCTACTTTTTATGATCACGTGTTCCTGGAAACCAGGCCATTGTTAATTCAGTCATTAATTCACTCAAATAACAGTCACTGATTATTAACCACATGACTAAGTAGTTAAAAATAAAGCCTTCTATACTTAAGACAGCAGAAGGTCAGAGCCACAGTTTAATAAGGGAAGACGGTGGGGTAGGTAATGAGGTAGAAGAAACTTGGTGCTGAGACTGGCTCTTGGTATAAATTCCAGGCTGGCAGCTTAGCAGGATGCAGGGGGAGGGAGGGAGAAAGAGAGGGAGAGAGAGACTGAAAGCCTAGGAGGCAGCTAAACGTGGTTACATAAGTTTAAGGTCATCCTCAACGCACTGTGGATTACAGGAAACCCTGTCTCAAGGAGGAAAAAAGAACAAAGAAACAGAACAAAAGGTTCTTGGTTCCCAAATCTTCTCCACAGACACAGACACAGACACAGACACAGACACACACACACACACACACACACACACACACACACACACACACACACACACACACACACACACAAACACACACGTGCACTCGTGCACACAAAATTATTTCATAAACTAGAGCTCTTTATAACTTTACTCTGATCTCCAAGGCCAGCATTTGGGGACTCGATGCAAAGACACAGGATAAGCAGACAGACACCTTGAGAACAGGAAGACAGGTGTTCAGGCACAAAGCAGAGAAAGTTCTCATCAGAGCCTGATGAAGATACCAGTGATGTGGACTCAGTAAGATACGGAATGTGACACTGTGTTAACACACGAGCGAACTTCTGAACTCACTTTTACCCAGTACCATTCTGCAATGACTTCCACGGACCATGAAGGATATAGTTCCTCCTTCACAAAACAGAGGTGCTTCTGTCTGTTGGTCACCCAAGTAACAATAAGACAGTCAGCAGCCGCCAGCTTAGGGACAGGCATTTGCTTTATCTGCTGTGGTGATAAACAACTGTACCTGAAAGTGAACAAAAAAATATGAGAAAATTAGCTTCAAGAGAGAAATATAAGCAGGGAAAAGAGCTGTAGGGCACCAACCCCACAGATACAAAGTTCCAGGAGCCATTCATGTGTGGTAAATGTGGAGTCACGCTGACACCTGGTGGATCCACTGGCACTTACACATGCACCAATTTTTCTATTTTATTAGTTTTTAATTGCCAAGCTGTAGGGGTTTTTTTATTTTGTTTTGTTTTGTTTTAATACTTTCAAACGACTTACACTTTGGTAATTTTCCCACATGTAATATGCTTTTTCTCCCATCCAGACTTAAACAAATACTGTCTGGATTCTGTCACCATGGGTTTCACAGGAACCCCATCAGAGTGAGCCTTGAAACTAGTGTCTCATCGACTCAAATGGTGACATCTCTTGGTACAAAGAAGCATTAACTGTGAGCCTGGTGAAGTGACAGCCATCTGACTTCCGTGAGGTGCCACACCCCACTGTGAGTGTCTTGCACACACTGTTGGGCCCCAGACCCCTATCACCATGCCCAACCTCACCTTCCCATTAGAGTTTCAAACCCATTCACCACCCTGTTTGTCTTCCTGTTTTCTCTCAAGTCTGAACCCTCTCATTTTAAAGGCCCACTGCCTCGTGCCTCCAAGCCATTAACTATCGAAGGAAACTTGTTTTTCTGGAATGTTACTTGTTCTACAAATATCCAAACAAATACAATTCTTTCTCCAACATTCCACAGACAACTGGAGATGGCAAGTCGGTATTCCAGTGTCCTCATTGTTGCTTCTAGACTCTATCAACTTCTGCAAAACCTTCCTTCTCTTTGTTATCCAGCCAAGCTGGCCCCAAACCTTCCTCACTGAATGTATTTTGTAGTTCTCACTCTCAATATTTAGTGTGCTGGAGCTCTGAGACCCATCTGTCTCAACAAGGAAAGCTTTGACACTATCCCAGGCAACTTCAAAGCACAGCCTATATAACGTGCACACCAGTGTTAATTCACCTATACAAACAATACACGCACTCACCCTCCAACAACCCCTTCCAATGGCATAGCCGAGGCCTTGTCATTGGGCACGCATGAGGATGTGTGCATGTGCATATTCATGCACACAACAGGAACTGAACCTAGGGCCCTGTGCATGCCAAGCACACACTCTATCCCTGAAGCATGCCCACACACACAGCCAATGCCACAATGCAATTCAACTTCTTCATACAGATAAGTAAGGTGAAGGAAAACATGGAGCAAAAGAATTAGACCACTGAGGCTTTCAGTCTATTCTCAAGTTCTCAAACCAGTCATAGACTCTTGTATTGACCCTTAGTTATAAAAGAAGCTCCTACCACTCGACTCACTCAGTAAAAAATAAGGAGTCTTCCAAGGGGCAGGCACAGGCATTGGTTCTGATATAAAGCAACATTACATCAGAGGGGGTCAGGAATAGCTGGCAAACTTTTCTTAAGCAAATAAACTTGGTGAAAGGATGTAAAATGAACAGGTAAAAGAACTCAGATTGCAAGCACCCTGGGCTCCTAACATTCGAAACATGACACTCCCCAAACACTAGCCTGCCCATTCTCACGGGGATGATTTTTCAGAGACTGTTTTGTCATGGTAGAAACAGTATTAGGTCAAAACTCTGCATTATGATGCTATAACAGCACCTCTGATTTTGTTCAAATATACTTCAAGTTTTTAAAAGTAACTTCCTCTTACTTCATTCTCAAGTGGGTCCAAAAAGTGTATAGACATATATAGAGATACAGATGTAGACACAAACACAGATATCTATTCTCTTACAACTTAGAAAGAAAATTATCACACACCTTATAAACAAAAATCCAAAGAAAGCTAAAGATAATTGTTGAAAGGAAGGACCTCAGTCTGAGTTTATAACAACACAGGAATTGCTGTATCTGGGAAACTGAAGGGTGAGAAGAAACTGAAAGCAGTCAGCACAAGTACAGGGGAAAGAAAGTTTCCTCAAGTTATAAAGATGTTAGTACAAGTAAATACCAGCCCAGCAGCTAACTGAGCTTATCCTTTGACATAAACTGAAAATACTAACAAACACGTGAACTCAATGATTCACTCCCAGCACATTACTGTAAACTACAAGCATAGCACATGTCTCAGTTTCTGAATGTGGCAGGGAAGAAGGCAAAAGGATGGCCCTTAGTTGCTGAGGAAACCCTGAATGGTTCAGGCCTCAGTAGCAGCTGCAGACCACTGTTTCACAGATACATCAGTTCCAGTTCAAGTGTCCAGAATTAAGGAAATTAATTTTTGATGAGAGTGTTGTTAGTAGCTCGGATAACGCTGTCATGTTTATGGCATACTAAAGTAGAGCACACAAAGGTCTGCAATCTAACAGATGAGTTGCTCCCACGTACCTGTTACTTCTTTTAACCGATTTGTTCTGCCATGGTGGATCAATCACAATTACATCAAATGTTTTACTACCTGAAATCAAAGACACAATTTCAAAAAACATCCTCTGTATGTGATGAGTTTAAGAGCTAAACACTGGGACTGAGGGGAAACCATAGAGCCCACACTTTCACAGGCAAGTTCTGAGCTGAACCAGAATCCTTCAAGATAAAAACTAAACAAGTAAAGCACATGCACGAGCACATGCACATAAATACATACACACACACACACACACACACACACACACATAAATACATACACACACACACACACACACACACACACACACATAAATACATACACACACACACACACACACACACACACACACATACACACACACTAATGACTAAAAATGAAACTAAGACAAAAAGTTTTAAAGAGGGAACAGCAAGTGCTCTGCAGGTCAAAGCCACCAAACCTGCTGATCTGAGCTAGATCTGGAACCCACATAAGGATGAAAGAGGAGAAGAGTCCACAAAACTGTCCTCTGACCTCTACACACGTCACAGAAATACACAATGATAATAAGAAATTAGTATATTCCAAAAGTAAAGTACTGCTTTTTGAACCTAGGACCTTGGGCTTGTTCAGCAAGCTGTATAAGTGAGCTAGACCCAGTCCAATGAAGGACATTATAGACACACAAACAATGGAATACAACAAAAGAGTTTACAGTACTTATTCAGATACTGTAACTCTGGGCCTTTGAGACAACAGCAATTGCAGTTGCGCACAATGACTTTTGCAGCGCCATCTACAGATGGTTACAGTCCACTGAGCTTGGTACTAACAATTTGAAAATCCCCTTACAATCCTGGCCCTACTAGGTACTTTTTTAACTTGCTCTTTTTTAACTTATCACATTTTGCATCTCCTATTTCAGATGTCCTAGCTTGGATTTGGTATTTCCTCATCGATAGATTCAGATCATCTATTTCTGGCAAGACTATTACCAAAGTAAGTCTTCCACACTATACCAGAGAAGCAGGTGACTCAGGATGTCAAACTGTGTCACAACATCACTCTGTTAAAGTGCTGTCTGCTGGTCTGTCCAGCTTCTCGTGCTCACAAACAATTACTTTCTGCCAAGACACTTTAAAAGCATGAGAACACCCTTTCTCAGCCACTATTTTGTCATTCAGTGATTACTATGACATTTGTCAAAAGGAAATTTCCTGGATCCATTATCCTATTCATATTAGGTAACTGGAATTTATTCTAAGGAAGAGTTTTTCCTTCCCCATCAATTAAACAACATAGAAATATATTTTGATAAATGTACAGGCTCATAAGTGATCTAAAGGATACAAATTAAAATAAGGATAGAGGAAAGCAGGTAGGCTAACTGCTGGCCCACCACACCAAAAGAAACACAAGAAATAAATAATCCCAAACCAGAAGATCACAACAGGAAAAACATACACACACCACCACCACCACCACCACCACCACCATAACAAGAACACAATAACAGGAATCAACAAACACTGCTCATTGATCTCTCTCAACATTGGTGGTCTCAATTTCCCAATTAAAAGACACAGACTAACAAATGGATACAAAAATAGAATCCATACTTCTGCTGCTTCCAAGAAACACACCTTAACATCAAGGATGGACACCACCTCAAGTTAAAAGAATGGAAAAAAAAGTATTCCAATCAAATGGACCAAAAGTAAGCAGGTTTGGCCATTTTAATATCTGACAAAATAGCTTTCAAACCAGAACTAATCAGAAGAGATTAAGGACACTGCATATTCATCATAGAAAAAATTCACCAAAAGGACATTGCAATTCTAAACATCTATGCACCATATACAATGGTACCCAAGTTCATAAAAGAAACACTATTACAGCTTAAGTCACATATTGGCCCTCACACATTTTTGGGGGTGACCTTAATACCCCACTCTCACCAATGGACAGGTCACACAGACAAAAACTAAATAGAGAAATGCTAGAGCTAATTGATGTCATAAACAAAATGGACCTACCAGTATTTGCAAAACATTTGACCCAAACACCAAAGAATATATCTTCTTCTTAGCATCTCATAGAACATGCTCCAAAACTGACCACATACTCAGACACAAGGCAAGTCTCAACAGATACAAGAAAACTGAAACACCATACATCCTATCTGACCACCATGGATTAAAGCTGGATGTCAATGACAGAAACAACACAAAGTTTACAGACTCATGGAAACTGAACTCATTACTGAATGAAAAAAGGGGGTCAAGTCAGAAATAAGAAGAAAATTAAAAACTTTTTAGAACGGAAAGAAAATGAAACACAACATACCCAAACTTATGGGAAGTTCTAAGGCAGTTCTAAGAGGCAAGTTCATAGCACTACGTGCCTACATAAAAAAACAAACAAACAAAAGCAAAGAGGTCTTATTCTAGTAATTTAACAGCACACCTGAAGGCTCAGAACAAAAGGAGAAATCACACCAAAGTAAGTAGATAGTAAGAAATAATAAAACTCATGATAAAAGTTCTGGAAAAATTAAGAATATAAGAGACATACTTCAACTTGATAAGGGCAGCTTACAAGAAGCCTATAGCCAACATCAACTTAAATGAAGAGAAACTCAAAGCAATTCCACCAAACTCAGGAACAAGACAAGGCTATCCACTCTATACCCATTCAATATAGTACTTGAAGTTCTAGCTAGAGCAATAAGACAACTAACAAGGGTATAAAAATTGGAAAGGAGAAAGCCAAAGTATCTTTATTTGCAGATGATATCATAGTACACACAACTGACCCTAAAAATTCTTCTGGGAAACTTCTACAGCTGATAAACTCATTCAGGAAAGTAGCTACAAAATTAACTGACAAAAATCAATAGCCTTTCTGAATACAAATGACAAATGGACTGAGAAAGAAATCAGGAAAACAACACCTTTCACAATAGCCTCAAATAATATAAAGTATCTTGGGATAACTAACCAAGCAAGTGAAAGACTTGTATAATAAAAATTTTAAGACACTGCCAGGCGGGGGTGGCGCATGTCTTTAATACCAGCACTTGGAAGGCAGAAGCAGGGGGATCTCTTGGAGTTCAAGGCCAGCCTTGATTCCTTATGACTTTTTCAGATATGTTTAACTATTATTTTACTCTCCTTTCTCCCTGTGTATTTATCTCCCTTGAACCTAATTATAACCCTGAAAACATACATACAGGTAACATTACACAGACTGAGCAGGTCACATACATATATGCATGTAACAATTAATTAAAAATTAAATGAAAAATCCATAAATTTGAAAGAGAACAAGGAGGGTTTGAGACAGGGTTTGGAGGGAGGACAGGGAAAGAAGAAATGGTGTGATTACATCATTATCTAAAAAAATAAAGACGTAATTGTTGCAGAATATTTGTTTAACTATGTAAAGATGTGTTGCATTTGTTTAATTATGTAAAGATGGGTTGTTGTTTTACCTTGCTGCCTAAGGCACCTGACTGGTCTAATAAAATGCTAACAGCCAATAGCAAGGGTGGAGGTATAGGCAGGACTTCTGGGCAGGGAGAGTAAGGAGGAGGAGGAATTTAGGCTTGGAAAGGAAGAAAGAAAAAGAGATGCCAGGGGCCAGACAGACAGACAGACAGACAGGGAGAAAGCAGGAAAGTAGGACATACAGAAGGAAAGGTAAATGAAGGTAGATGAACAGAAACAGGTTAGATTAAGTTAAAAGAGCTAATGGGACAAGCCCAAGCTTAGGTTGAGCATTTATAATTAATAAGTCTCCATGTCTTTTTCTGGCAGGGGGAGCTGGTTGGCAGGTCAAAGAAAATTCCAACTATACATGATACAATAAATAAAATAAGAAGGTGGTTGTTTTTAAAATATTGATATGTAAGAGATAAAAGGGAATGGAAACTATGACATTTTAAGTAACTCATCCCTGTCACCTACTCTGAAGAATTTATGACAGACACTATCACTGGATAACCACCCAGGCATAAGGTGGCTTGTCAGTAATTAAAAGGTTTTCAATAGCAAAGTATATTGCAGTTGCTTATAACTTAAAATGTTGCTATAAAATATCCCAATAACAGATTAAATTCAACTTGATTACATTACCACCTCTTACCTACCACATTCCTTAGGATAAATTATAATTAACAACATGTATCACTGAGCTAAAAACCTGATACAGTCATCTCACATAATCCTCAGTGACCTTCAGGAATAGGCACAGAAACCAAGCTTGTTAGGTTTTTTGTTTTTGTTTTGTGTGTGTGTGTGTGTGTGTGTGTGTGTGTGTGTGTGTGTGTGTGTGTGTATGACTATCAGCCTGGGTGATTGTAGACCTCAACAACTTTTTAAACTTTGTACAAAAAAAAAATGTTTCAAGAAATTTTTAGGTAACAAGTGATTTAGAAGTAGGACCAGTATCTGAAAACTTCTTTTTCTTTAGCACTAGTAGGACAATGATCCTTTCTCGATGTGGTCTTCCACAAAAGGAATTCAGAAATAGTTAATGCTTAAGCAATAGCTATTATAATAGTCTTATTAACTGGCCTTTGTAATACCAAAATAAGGGAGGTCTTGGCCAGTGAGGGATAATATTTCCAAATCAAATTTGTTAGCTAAGGTAATTTTATATTTCTTAAGGCATCTTGAAATTAAGATGAGTGTAAATCCACAGTGGTTGAAAAGAGTTTTGAACATTTTTACTCATGACAAAACTGCATAGGAATAGGATTTGTCTTTAAGAAAAAAAAAAAAAGATCTCTATTGTTTTTATCTTATTTTATGTGCAAAGTGTTTTGCCTGCATGTTTGTCTATATACCACATGTGTGTCTGATGCCCTCAGAGACCAGAAGAGGGCATCAGATTTCCTGAAACTAGAATTATAGTTGTGCATTCTGGGGATCGAACCCAGGTTGTCTGAAGAGCAGCCAGTGCTCTTAACCACTGAGCCATCTCTCCAGTCCCAGACATAGTAAACAAATCAAAACAACAACAAAAACAAAATCCCCATGGAAAACTCCTGGACACTGATGTAAAAGTTCTTGGTTGTATAAAACACAGATGGGTTAATCCACCTCCCGGTAGGAAAACATGTGCTTTTGCATGATATTTGTCCTTAACATTTCTTTTTCTTAAAAGAAAAACTTAAAATGTAACATAAAAGGCTAGAAATGAAAAGATTTTAAAGGCTAGAAAACAACTAAAGTGTTTTCATTTCAATAAACTCTTGGTTAAACACAAGTGTGTTCTGAATTCCTGAGCACAGGTAACTATTGTATTTGTTTTCTTTTTTTTAAGATTCTTTTTATTTATTTATTATATATACAACATTCTGCTTCCATGTGTATCTGCACACCAGAAGAGGACACCAGATCATAACAGATGGTTGTGAGCCACCATGTGGTTGCTGGGAATTGAACTCGGGTCCTCTGGAAGAGCAGCCAGTATGCTCTTAACCTCTGAGCCATCTCTCTAGCCCTGTATTTGTTTTCTTAAGTACCAGTTTTTTAACCCTTTATTTGTAATGAAAATTTGTTTTTAAAAACCAGGAGGTCTGTGTGGTGACACATGCCTATAACCCTAGCATCCAGGAAGCTAAAGCAGAATGGAGATATCAAGGCCATCCTGTGTTATACAGCAAGTTAAATGCCAGTCTGGGCTACTTAACAAGACTCTGTCTCAAAAGTAAACAACAGAGCAAAAGTCAGCAATTTAAAACTGAACTTACATTCAAAGTTCATACTCTTTAACTTCTGAGGTGACAGAAAAAGTGTCTTTTTCTAAAACAAACATAAAAACTACTTACAGTTGAGGAGTGGCTGCATACAAGAGATGTCAGACAAAAGGAAGCTGCTCTGGGGTGGTAGCAGGTATTTCTGTCCCATTAAAGTAATCATTCTGGAAAAGCTGGAGTTGTTTTCAACCACCTGTGGCAATAGATCCAGCTCTGTGACAGACAAATCATCTTCTGTCAAATGTAGCGTCTGAAGCTCAGTCTCACTCACGGAGGGCAAACGCTTTGCCATCTCACAGAATTCTGACAAATTGCAAGCATCCAGGGGTAAAGTGATGCGGCCACTATTTCCATCCTGTTTCCCAACAAATGGATAAAGAAAACCACTTTTGAGACCTTCTTGGATTAACTGTGAAGATCCATCCAAAATCAGCTCTCTGATCTGTTAAAAAAAATTGTTTAAAGTACATTAAAACGATACTGGTTTTAAAATCATTTTGGGGGTGGGGGCTGGAAAGATGGCTCAGCAGTTAAGAGAACTGGCTGCTCTTAAAGAGATTCTGGGTTCCACAGAAACAGCTGACCTGAACAAGGGGGAGCTCATGGTCCCCAGATTGATAGCTGGGAAACCAGCATGAGACTGATCCAGACCCCATGAATGTGGTGTCAGTGAGGAGGCCTCCGAAATCTATGGGGCCTCTTGTAATAGATCAGTACTTATCCCTAGCATAGCAATGGACTTTGAGAGCCTATTACACATAGAGGGATACTAGGTCCTATCCCAAAGGATATGACAGATTCTGAAGACCTCCCCCCATGGAAGGCCTCACCCTCCCTGGGGAGCAGAAAGGGTATGGGATAGGTAGGGTGTTAGTGGGGAGCAGGGGAGGAGGGGAGAGAGAGGGAACTAGTATTGACATGTAAAACAATCTTGTTTCTAATTTAAATTAAAAAATGGAAGAAGAAGAAGAAGAAAAAAGAGAATCTGGATTCAATTCCCAACTCCCACATGGTTGCTCACAACTAGCTGTCAGTACACTTCCAGGAGATCTATCACCCTCTTCTGCCCTCAGAGGGCACCAGGCATGCACAGGGTATACAGACATGCTGGCAGGCAAAACATCCATACACATAAAATAAAATTAGATTACATTACAATAATTTTCCAAATAATTAAATTTCTGCTATGCTTTAGATATCTTATTTAATATATTAAAATCCACTCTTACTAAGCTTAGCATAATTTTATCATATAATGAGATAAGACAATATAAAGATAACACTATAAGAGCATACTTTTGAACTCTACAGAATAAAACACACCCCATAAACCCCCTATTAAGTAATGTAACAATGAATGTATACAAAATGCTGAAGCTTCGAGACAAAAATAACTTTTCCTTGCTTGGGTTGTTTCTGTCAGATATCTGTGATGATAAGAAAATAACTGCCACTTATGCTCACCTATGCTCTGCACAGCAAAGACCCACCACATTCTTGTAGGACATGGGGTATGAAGGGCACCTATCAACATAACCCACATGCTTTTTTTCCTTGTGCCAGGAACCAGAGCCCTTTGCTCTGGTCCAGACATTCCACATCTTCTGCCAGCATCTATGAAACTTCATGGTAGGCTAACTTATTCACTTCCTGAATCTCTGTCTTCACAGTCCTCACTGGAGCATTGGGTGATCATGTCTCTCAGTACAGAAGAAATACTGACCTTAGACACTGCTCTAAACCCATCTTTTAAAGCCCACCAGAAAGGGTAGAACAAGCCGGGCGTTGGTGGCGCATGCCTTTAATCCCAGCACTCGGGAGGCAGAGGCAGATGGATCTCTGTGAGTTCGAGGCCAGCCTGGTCTCCAGAGCAAGTGCCAGGATAGGCTCTAAAGCTACACAGAGAAACCCTGTCTCAGGGGAAAAAAAAAAGGGCAGAACAAGTAACACCAATTTTGCAGGCAGAGAAGTTCTGAATGCTACACATAGGAGCACTATATCCAACAGTTACAAAACATCATGGCCAACCCCACACAGTATAATCTCAATGATTATACACGCTGGGCAATGAAACAAATCTCAACAAACTTAAATGAACTAGAATCTATTCTTATACCCCAAAGGATTTAAGTTAGAAATAAAGAACAAAATGATTTTAAAACCAACCCCAAATGCAAATGAGATAGTTCTTGTCTAAATAATTCATGCAGGTCAAAGATGAAATCACAAGAGAGATTAGAAAATGCTCTCCTACAATGAAAGTAAAAATATAAAATATCAAGTTACATAGAATCACAACGGGATCCCATTCCATACCCATTAAAAATGGAATAGAATGTTTTGGTGAAAAGGTGGAAAAATTGGAACCTTTGTGTGGAAATACAAAAATTGTACAGCAGCTATGAAAACAAGATAGTAGTTTCTGGTGGGGGTGAATTCTTCTCACCCAGAATAGAATGTATAATCTATTCTACAACTTCTATAGTAGCAATATGACAATATCTACCAAATGTTCAAATCAATAATTAGGGGGAAGGGGAACAAAAAAAAAATGCATGTTTTCTCTCATCCACAATGTAGATTTGATGATATATGTGTGTATGTCATTATTTAACTCCGTGTGTGTGTGTGCATCATGAAGGGAGAAGGGGGACTACGTGGGAGGGCGTGGGGTGGAATATGAGCAAAGTACAATGATACACATGTATGAAAATGTCATGATGAGCCTCATTATTTTCTAGGCTAACTAAAACAAGTCAAAAAATCAACAATTTGTCAAAATACAAGAAATCAAAATAGGATCATGAGAGTTGGCCCTCGGAAGACTACCTCCACGCAGCAATCTATCATCTATTGCTATAGTATACTTATTCTCATGTTGAATCTTTTGAGAGGTTTCGTGTTGTTTTCAGGGGCTTTTTTTTTTCCACTATGAATTGTCAGCATTATTTTCATAATTTGCCATGTTATATATTCCATCCTCACATCATTTCCAATACTGAAAATACAAATTGTGCAGACTTATAAAGAATTCTAATTCTTCTATGCACCTTTTGCAAATTTCACTCTGCAAAACACATTATCATGCTGATTTCATATATAAGACAGCCTCATTCTACTCTCCCCAACTTTCTTCTACCCAACACTGGTCCTCTTTTTACCCTCAAATAATCCCTCTGCTTTCATGTGCTATCTACATATATAAAGTTAAATAACAGTCTATGTTCAGATGTTCATTGTTGAACCTAAATTCAACACATGAGAAAAAACCTCCAAGAGTAAAAACATTGCAACATCCTTAGTGAACTTAACCAATAGCACAAGATTAATTCATCAGATACTTAAACTGACAAGACAGGTAGTGTTAATAAAAATTGGCTTAAACTGTTCATTACTGACAAGAAATATATAACTTAATTCTAATTCTGATCAAAGCAATTGGTTTATTTCTAAGATATATTTTGTTCATTTTTAAGCTACTTCATATTAATCTTCCTACATGATCAATAAATATTTTATACATACCTTTGTATGATATTCCATAGCATCCAATTCACCTTGATTGAAAGCCACACATCTTTTACGCTTCTAAAGAAGGTGACAAGAAAAAAATAATGTTGCAGTCTATCACAAAGTTGACATTTTGAAACCTGTTAGATTTAATATTCTATTTATTTTTTAAAGGTAAGAATTTCCATTGAGTTCAAGATCAGTGCAAAGGGTACATGTGTCTGTGGAATATGAAGGAACTGTAACTCTTCATAAGCAGTTTGTTGCCACAGTTACCTATCAGTTTACATGCATAAGGTATAATTACTCTCCACTTTCTTCATTGCTGAACATGAACCATCTATAGGCTATCCAGAGAATACCTGGGGCTGAAGGGAAGAACCAGTGGTCAGGAGCACCGGCTGCTCTTACAAAAGACCCAGGTTTGGTTCCCAGGACCCATATTGTTGTAATTTAAGAAAAGCAGAGGTCGAGAGAGAAAGATGCCATGAGGCAGGGTTCAAGCAGAGGGTTTTTTTTATTAGGGAAAGGGATCATAAAAAGGGGAAAGGGGAGGAGGGAGACAGGCCTCCAGAGACAGGAACAGCAGGAGAGAGGAGAGGGAGAGAGAGAGGGAGAGAGACAAGAGAGAAAGAGAAGGATGGGAGGTGGGCAGGGAACATAGTGAATGTGCACAGGTGGTGTTTTAGTGGCTGCAGCTGGGGGTGTATCCTGTCAGAACCCCAAGGACAGACCAGTACAGACACCTGATACTAACACATATGGTGGCTCAAAACTGCCTATAACTCCAGTTTCAGTGGATCTGACGCCCTCTCCTCGTCTCCACAGACATACACATGGTGCACAGAAATATATATATGCTAAACACTCATAGGCATTAAATCAATATTTTTTGGGGTTTTTTTGTTTTTGGATTTTCAACTCGCTCTGTAGACCAGGCTGGCCTCAAACTCACAGAGATCTGCCTGCCTCTGCCTCCTTAGTGCTAGGATTAAAGGCGTGCGCCACCAACGCCCGGCTCAATAATTTTTTAAAAAAGAAAAATAATCTCAAAGCCAGGGATGGCATCTCAGGTCTGCAATACCAGGAAGTGAAAAGAAGGGGGCAGGAGGGGCAAGAGCTCAAGGTCATCCATCCTTTGATACACAGTGTATTCCAGAACAGCCTGGGCTACCTGGACCCTGTTACAAAAAAAAAGATAAAAAAGAAAAGAAAGAAAGAAGTGCAAGGTATGATGCTATGACATTTATCACCAAACCCAACAACTTAAACTCAGTCTCCAGGATTCACCATTTCTAAAAACTGTTCTCTGACCTTACAGATGTACACCATGACACACATACACATAGGAAGGAAATAAATAAATAAATAAATAAATAAATAAATAAATAAATAAATATGTTTAAAGACCTTTAGGATTGGTCTGAGGGTTACAGACACACCAATGCTAGCCAAATTGTGTACCTGACTATGACCCACGCAACAGAGACTGAGATAGGAACAGAGAGCAGTAACTTCCTCCTTTTCACCGCTGACCTGCTATTAACACAGTGTCAAAGTCTGAGCAGGCTAAAATAGTTGTTGTTGGCTAAATACTTAAGAGGATTTAAGGTTAGGCTAATTAGGTAATTTGTATCAGCATATCAAAAATAAGATAAATGTCATCATGATAGAATTTATGACATGTGCTCATCTGTACTTTCCACATTAAAATGAGACATGTATTAGGCAACGGTGGCAAGTGCCTATCATCACAGCACTCCAGAGGCAGAGACAGAGCCATGAGTTTTAAACAGACTGGTCTATACAGATGAGTTCCAAGACAGCACAAACTACAGAGACCTTGTCTCATTTTTACAAAAAAAAAAAAAAAAAAAAAAAAAAATTTACCCAAACTAAAATCAAATGCTTGGTGATCAGAATTAGTAACAGTAATGTATCTGAGATTTTATTTTCTTATTCTTCACATGTAGGCAAATCAGTACATACTTGCTGAAAAGGAAAAACACGTCCAAGGGAAAAAAAAATCACAAGAAAATTAAAAACTTCATCTCAGGTACCTCCAAAAGTGGAAGAGGTTAACACTACCAACTTCCTTATTCAAGTTCTTAGTATGCTTCCCTAACTTCTTAACCAATTTTAAAGTACAATAGGTACAGGCACTGTGGTTATCTTATTTCATCACTATGCCCAAAAATAAATGACAATATCTCCAACAAGACAATATCTGAATGTAGTTTGTACCTCTGCACAAACTCAATAAACACATCCAAGATTAAAGCACACACTGCAGGCCCTTGCTGCTGAGCCTGACCTCAGTTCAACCTCCAGGGCCAAGGGTTCACAAGGCAAAAGGAAAGACCCACCGCTTAACCCTGTGTAGCACGATCAAATGACTTTTATTGGTGAAGGTGGTGTTGTTTTGCAGGTTTTTGTTTTGTTTTGGGGGAGATGATCTCATACAGCCAAGCTAACCATGAACTCACTATGCAGCTAAGGATGGCCTTGTCCTCCTGATCCTCCTGCCTCTACCTCCCACGTGCTGGAATTACAGCTGTGTACCACTGCACCAGACTCAAACTTTAGTATATACCCAAGCACAAGTACCTCATAAATACGCATTTTCCACAGTAGCTTTCCTCCTTTCACCACTAGAAAACTTTTCAAAACTACCACCCTTCTCTCAAACTTTTATAATATGAGTCTATTCTCTAAAGACAGACCTTTAAAATTCCCTTAAAAATGCACTGACTGCTTGGGAATTTTGCATAGAAATTTTTAAATCTAAAATAGACGTAAAAACATTCAATACTGTTCTTATTGGCAGTGGGACCTGAGAGAGTAGGGCCTGAAAGTGAGGCAGGCTAAAGTCTCCTACAATAGCCAACTTTATTCAGAGCATCAGACAGTTTATACTCTGAGGGTTAAGAAGAGTCACGTGAGTGAAGTATCCAATCATAAGGCAAGCTGCATACGGCAAAAAACATGCTTTTCCATAGAGGCAGATAAACAAATAACAATAGACAGTTTTCATGAATAATCTGAAGAAAACTCACTCCTATCTACTACACCTGGGAGGGGCAAACACCGCATTCCAAGAACAATTTCATAGTTTTGAGTGAACCGAGATAGATAACAAGACTCCTGCCTTGTGGATATTTTCCTCACAAGCACTCAGAATTCTCATCTCATGACTCCATTCTTGGACTGTGTTCCAATTCAATACCACACAAAAAGAATTTTGTTTCTTTTACAGACAATTTACTTCTGAGCCCATTATCTATGTTTTTTTTTTTTTACATTTATTTATTCATTCATTCATTGTGCACTGAGGAGAAGGGTGCTTAGCAAGGACACCCATGTGGAAGTTAGAGAACAATTTGTGGGAGTCAGTTCTCTCATTCTACCAAATGAGCCCTGGTGACCAAACTCAGGTCATGAGGTTTGATAGTAAGCACCTTTCCCTGCTGAGCTATCTCCCCAGGCCTTTGCTTACTTTCTGAAACATGCAACGTGTTCTTCTAGAATGTTAGGAAATAGAATTAAAGGTAGGTGATGGCAAATGCGTATAACCCCAGTGCTTGGGAAATGGAGGCAGGAGGCTAAGAAGTTTGTCATCCTCAGCCACACAGTAAGTTTGAGGGCAGCCCACACGATCCTGACTCAACAAAAAAATAAATAAATAAAAATTGCTCTTGGACATGCTAACACTTTCTGTATTATTAATTCTTTATACTTAGAAAATGGGAAGATATTTGAGATACTGGAATTAAAATTTTGTTTCATGTAAAAAGAGAGAGAGAGAGAACTTTAAAACTTCCTACCTTCCCAATAGAAATGGAGACCTCTTGTTTATTACCAGTCACTAAATTCTCGTTTTTGTTACTTTGTTGGCATTCTTTGTGAACAGCTGAAGTTATGTAAGGTTTGGTGACATTAAATAACTCAGGTCGGAAAACATATTTTTGGGTGATCCTTTCACAACTTCCTCCATCCTCATCCTCATTGCCTGGCACAGTAGTAGAGTCAGGAGCAAAGCATGGAGCAGGAGCTCCAAAAGGAGACATGGCATCCATCTGAAGAGAGTCCAGGTAGACAGAAGAAGTATGCTTGTTTTTACTACAGGAAGGTTCTTGATGCTGTTGAAGTTGATAGTTGACCTTGTTAATGAAAGAAAGATGATCCAGTAACCACCCGGGTGACAAATGGTGCACCACAGACATTCTCTCTTAAAAAAAAAAAAAAAAAAAAAAAAAAAATTTAAATAAAATAACTGAGAATCAAGAATCAGAACTAAGGCTGGAAGAGTAGGTCAATGTAGGGGGTGCTGGGTTTGATACCCAGTGCTACAACGACAAAAAAACAGAGGACAACAACAACAAAAAAAAAAACTTTTAAAACAGGTTCTTAATGTCCTATATTTCAATAATGATGTACTTCAAACACACAAGTAGGTTTTATGTCCAAACATACAAGGTGGGCATGTACATAGCACCTCTAAGGAAAGATGCAATACTTTAACTGTCTTTTAATTTTACAGTTGGTCATTCAAATTTTTCAGCAGACTTGGCCAAAGATGCTTTTAAAACGATGAATCTGGATTCCCAGGTTGATGCTCCTTTCTTCTGTTACCCTCCATGGTCCTGTTTTGGTCCTTGGATTGAAGCACTAGTCCACATCATCCAAGTATTCAAGTCACTAAACAGGTGATGTCCTATAGAGTCAAAGGATAGTTAATTACCCACAAGAATTAAGCTTCTTAGATGGCATAAACTTATCTAGAGAGGGCCACAGAATTTCAAGAAGTTAGCCTTTGCGTTTCCAAACTACAATTGCCACAGGATGTCATTCTATTACTATGATCCCAGCCCTACTTAACAGTTATCAATGGAAGAACAGTAAGATTAAAAGACTGCTCCTGTTGAGCAAAGTGCAGTATCAATAGTGCATCAAAAGCACACACCTTTCTAGTTTCTCTGACAGAACTAGAGCGAAACTAACTAGTTTGCTAGGTCAGAACTTCAAGGTCTAGATCTATAATCTGTTTAAGTCACACTCTAGTAACTAGGTTTTTCGGAACTACTTTATCTTCATTTAAAATACGTTTTGCAGGCTAGAGAAATGGCTCAGAAGTTAAGAGCACCGAATACTCTTCCAGAGGACCTGAGTTCAATTCCCAACAACCACATGGTAGCTCATGACCATCTGTAATGACATCTGGTACTCTCTTCTGGTGTTCAGGAATACATGGAGGCAGAATGTTATATACATAATAAATAAAGTCTTAAAAAATAAAATAAAATATGTTTTGCAGTTCTGGATGTAGCTTATTTAATTGTAATGTAGTGGAAACTTTAAGAGGGAAAGGCATAGCTAATAATAAACATAGCATTTATAGTCAAATTTCTTATGCAATTGACCATGAACTAGTCTTTGTTCCTCATTTTTTAAAGACCGAGTCTTAGGATATAGCCCTGGTTGGCCTGGGATTCCCCATGTAGACCAGATTCACAGAGATCTTCCTGTCTCTGCCTCTAGTGCTGGCATTAAAAGTGTATGGCACTTTCAGGCTGTTATTTGATTTCACTAAGCTTCAAAGTTTTTGGATTTTTTTGGGGGGAGGTGGCTTTTTTTGGTTTGGTTGGGGGTTTTGTTGTGTTTTTTAATTTTTTTAATTAGAAAAAAAAATTATTTTACATGTCAATCCCAGGTCCCTCTCCCTCACCTCCTTCCCTAATCCCCCCTCCCCCAACTAACCCCCTACCTATCCCATACCCTTTCTGCTCCCCAGGGAGAGTGAGGCCTTCCATAGGGGGTCTTCGATGGGGCGGGGAGGTTAAGTTGGGGGAAGAACAGAAGAGCACAAGATAAGAGATAATATAATAGAGAGAGACATTATAGGTTTAAGAGAAATCAGGCACTAAGGAAATGTCTGGAGAGCTACAAAGATGACACCAATTAACAATCTAAGCAACAGATGAGAGGCTACCTTAAATGCCCTCTTCTGATAATGAGATTGATGACTAATTCACGTGCCATTGTATAGCCTTCATCCAGCAGCAGGTTTTGTTGGTTTTTGTTTGTTTTGTTTTGTTTTGTTTTTGAGATAGTGTCTTACTACGTTGCTGTGGCTGTCCAGGAACTCACTCTGTAAACCCAGCTGGTCTGGAAATCAGAAACCCCCTAGCCTCTCTCTGCCATCTCGAGTGATGATGACATTAAAGGCGATGACATTAAAGGCGTTCGCTACAACGCCCGACCAAAGTCATCATTTTTATGTTGTCTTGTCATGAGTTTAGAGAACTGAATGAGATACTCCCGATGAATTCTTGCTACTCACTGAGTCTGAAACATAACAACGGGTAACACATCTGCTGACTGTTACCAGTGACGGGGGTCTGGTGATACCTGTGATTTTGGTTCCCACGTGATGTGGCATGACATGAGCCAAGGAGACACAGTGATGGGTAGGAAAAAAACAAAAACAAAAACAAAAAAACAAAAAACCTGAAACTCAAAAAGGCTGCTACGGAGCCGGGCGTTGGTGGTGCACACCTTTAGTCCCAGCACTCGGGAGGCAGAGGCAGGCAGATCTCTGCGAGTTCGAGGCCAGCCTGGTCTACAGAGCGAGTTCCAGGACAGCCTCCAAAGCCACAGAGAAACCGTGTCTCGAAAAACCAAAATAAAATAAAAAGGGTGCTCGGCCTGCAAACTACAACTCTAGCTAATGGCACGACGGCTCTGAGATAAACTTTCGCCAAGGCCTCCCTCCACCGTCTGGGAACCCGCCGTGCCTGCCTGTGGTTGCACGGGGAGGATCCACAGCGCTCGGAGCACCCTGCAGCTACTTATCACCCTTCAGACTCCTCCTGAGCTCGGGCCAGCAGAGCCCCACCACACTCCATAGCCGGTGCTACCGTCGGAAAAGGTCACGCTACCTCCCAGACTCTCCGCCTCGGAACGCACGCATCTAAACCTGGTCCCGACGGAGCCCAAGAAAAGCCTCGCTGCCCCGGTCTATGGGCGCAGCCATGTTGCTGTACGGAACGCGACTCAGGTAGCGCTGGGGCCGCTCCCTCCCGACATCGCTGTCGTCCTAAGTTCCGGTTTCAAGCGTCGGGCCAGACTCCCCTCGGGACAAGGACACCGGCTTCTACACGACAGGGGCCCAGGGTTCGCGCCAGGAGCCCGAGGTGCGCCGCGGAGCGAGCGGCACGCCCACTTCCGGCGATCGCGACCGGCGTGCAGGAAACGCGTCTGCGCTCTCGCCGAAGGCGCCCTGACGTCACGCCGGCGGGGATTTTTTTAAAAAATTCAAACGGCCCTTGGTTGGCGGAGACGAGAGCTGTCGTTTTGGCGGCTGTTTTCGTGTGCGGTTGCGCCGTTCCCTCGAAGCCGGACGCTGGGTCTCGTCGAGAAGCCGAGAGGAAAGTAACTGCTGGCACGGGGTTAGCTCCGTTCGTGTACAACGCTCTGCGGCGGGCGTGAGAGGGGATTCCTGGGGGTGGAATCCGCCCGGCTCCGCTTTCCCGGGTCAGTAAAGTTTGTGCGAGCCACGTTTGTAGAGGAAGAAGGGGGATGCTGACTGACGGGTGGGGAACTGACAGGAGGAGGTGACAGGAACGCAGCTAATGCAGCATCTTAGAAGCCGCGGGTAAGGAGAAAAGTCTGGGAAGTAGAAGTCTTGAGTAAAAATCTAAGTGGGATGTTTAGCAGCCGAACAAGAAGAAGGGGTGTGGCTCAGCGCACAGCCGACCGTGCTAAAGGTCCTGGCTTTCCATCCCCCACAGCTAGAACAAAACAAACGGTGAGGTGAGATCTGTCCAACCCTCAAAGGAAGCCGGGGCAGGACCCGAAAAGGCGGAGTGGATGGATATAGTGTCTAACACCGCAGAGATGGAGACAGGATCCGACATAGACATGTTTATGATACTAACATGTTATGAAAGTGGAAGCAGCCAATACAGCATGTTGTGGGCCGGATTGTTTATCTTTTGTTGAAAGGGAGGACTAGAACCAGAAAGACAGTAGCGTTGACTACTGTTTAACCCAGAAACATTGGGTTAAACACAAAGCAAGACAGGTAGATGTTGTCATTTCCGGGGTCGCATGGCCACCCACGTAGCATCCCAGGTGTTAGCATTTCTGGGGTTGACTGCATAAGCCCCATATGCATGCGCTAAGTGACCTTTAAGAAGGACAGCCGGATCCCACTAACTCCCCCCACATTTCTTCCAGACAGTCGTGCACACACACACCCTGCTCCCTACTCTTTACTAATAAAACTCTGAGAGTGGATTTGTTGTATATCCTGTGGTCTGCTCTCACACGTGGTAAATTAACAGACGTTATGAAGACTGAGTAACTCCCTTTTTTGAAGCCAAAGGAGTAAAAAGGAGCCTGAGATTTCTCGTCAGGCAGTCTGTGAGTTACCATTGAAATAGACATAAGCAGTGATGTGGTCAGGAGTAACTTAGGAATTTTGTAATCATGGATTGCCTTGTGGTACATGAATTATCATATATTGTTCATTTTTGCATTGCCATATTTGAGTGTATTGAATGCTTTGCGTTGCATAGGTGTTCTTTGTAGTGAGGACTTAAGTATACATGGAAAAACAAATATTGTACACAGGGAAAAGACTATCAAAAGAAACAAACTGAGTTGCTTTTCTACTCCGGATAAAAATGATTAATTGTTGCTTAATGAACCACTTTGCATGTGGAACGTTTTTCTAATACTGAAATCACGAATTAGGTTATAAGCATGAAGCGCAGTTCAGTTTCCACCGGTGGTGCTGGCCGACTTTCTATACAGGAGTTAAGATCGCTGGACCTCAATAAACCAGGCCTTCACACCCCTCAAACGTAAGTGCCTCCACCTATGGTTCTCAACTGCATTCTTTACTGTCTAGGGCAAAGAAAATGTCAGAACTAGTTAATAGAAAAGTGTAAGCCATAACTTAGTGAATCTTGTCTCTTTCCCATAGCACTAGACTGGGAGTCAATGAAATCTGAAAGTGCTGGGTGGTTTGGTTGGTGTCACTGTTTCTCTAATGCCCAAAGTCAGGTACTTTACTAGGCATGCTATGAAAAGATTGTTGATGCCCTTTCAGCACTCCTTGGTCTCCTCTTTTACTTTATAATTAACTGTTTAAGCAGGCACTGCGGTATAGCTTAATTTACTAAAATGTTTCAGCTACTAAAGGTAATGATAAAATCAAAGCCATATTATCTGTTTTGATGATAAGCTATGAAATTATTTCCTCAAGTTTGGAGGGAGAGCCGGGCGTTGGTGGCTCACACCTTTAATACCAGCACTTAGGGAGGCAGAGGCAGGCGGATCTCTGTGAGTTCGAGGCCAGCCTGGTCTCCAGAGCGAGTGCCAGGATAGACTCCAAAGCTACACAGAGAAACCCTGTCTCGGAAAAAAAAAACCAAAAAAAAAAAAAAAAAGTTTTGCTGTCATAGCTGAGTATGTCACACACACCTGTAATCCTGGTATTAAAAAAAGGCTCCGGGAAGACAATGGCTCGATGTGAGTTCAAGGACAAGACATAGTTCACAAAGCAACCAACCAAAGAAACTGTTACTATAAACATTAGCTTTTCGCTTTGAGCGAAGCTGTTACAGATCACAGAAGGCTGTTTCTAGCCCACTGTCTACCCACATCCTATAATGTCTACCTATCAACTAGTCAATGAGCCGTTATAAATTACTTAGAATTATGTTGTACTTTTAGAAATTTGAAGCATTTACATATTTTCCTTCCTGATACCTGAAGCACATTTCCTTTTACCATTGCACATTGTTTACACCAAAAGGTTTTGTGCATTGGATTGTATTAGAAGAAACACTTCACCTGCTTTTTTTTTTTTTTAAGTTCAGAAAATATGACAAATGGCTGTTCCTAGTACAGGAACTGAGAGAAAATTTGGAGTTTGAGGCCAACCTAAACTACATAGTGAGTCCTAGGGACATCCTGGAATGAAGACTAAGACCCTATATCAAAATTTAAAAAGTAGGCTTTAAAAGAAAAAAAATTCAAACATAGTGCTGTCAACCTATAATTATTTTTTATATTTTCTTTAAAATTCTTATCCATACATAAACAAATTTTGAGATTAAAAAGACATAGATTAAATTTTTTAACATTTTACAGTTATGCCATTTTAGCTTTTAGCTCATTCCAGTGAAAGCAACTACCAAAACCTTCTTTGATTTTGAGAAGTTTTTATGGGTAGGAGAAAAGAGGTATTCACCTAACATAATTCCACAATTACTTGAGCTGTTATCCATACATTTGCTTTAGAATTGTTTTCTATTTTTCTTTCAAGCAAAGAGAGAACCACCTTTGGAAAGCTGAGCACAAACAAACCTACATCTGAAAGAAAAGTCTCAATATTCGGCAAAAGGTAACCAAGTTTTTAATTATATTTAAGGCATAGGTTCTTATAGCCATCCATTGATTCCCTTAGACTCAAAAAAAGAAAATTATATTGTAAGGTGTTTTCAAGACAAAAGCTATGACCCACTCTTTCTGTTTTAGATGGTGGTGTCTGCTTTCCATGATGCTAGAGATGAGCAGGTTCAGACCACTGTTCAGTCGTTGTAAGGCGATGGTCAAGTGTCGAGTCAGATGGTGAAAGAGGGGCCAGCCTCCAGTTACACATTGGAGGCTTTTACCCTCTGAAGTTTAATGGTGACTCCCCAGAGTTTTTTATGGTCTAGATCTGTCAGTGTTAATTATATTAGCAGTTAAACGAAGAAAATGTCAAATACAAACTCAATTTAAAATAACAATAATCATGCCAGATGTGGTGCACACCTTTAATCCCAGCACTCAGGTGGCAGAGGCAGGTGGATCTCTGTGAGGTCAAGGACAGAGAAACCCTATCTAGAAAAAAACAGAAGGTGGGAGAGGGTTGGAGAGATGGCTCAGCAGTTAAGAGCACTGGCTGCTCTTCCCCAGGACCTGAGTTCAATTCCCAGCACCCATATGGCAGCTCACAGCCATCTGTAGTCTCAGTTCCCCCTGACACCCTTACACAAAACACATGCAGGCAAAACACCAATGTAAATAAAATAAAGAATCCATTTAAAAAAGAAAACAGTAATCTCATTACGTGGTTTCAAATGCTATTAATTTTTTTTTGTTTGGTCGGTTGGTTTTTCAAGACAGGGTTTCCCTTTGTTGCCGTAGCTATCCTAGAACTCACTCTGTAGACCAGGCTACCAACAGACGACTTAGAGATCTGCCTCTGCCTCCCGAGTGCTCATATTAAAGGTGTGTACAACCACCACCAACAATGCTTTTAATTTTTAAAAATGTTTCTGGGTGAGCAAGATGGCTCAGCAGGTAAAGGCATTCATCACCAAGCCCAAAGACCTGCTTTCAATCCTCAGACCCACATGGTAGAAGAGAACCTACTCCTGCAGGTTGTCCTCTGACCACCCCTGGACTCATGCGTGCTCTCTCTCTCTCTCTCTCTCTCTCTCTCTCTCTCTCTCTCTCTCTCAATAAATAAATGTAATAGAATTAAAACATTTCCAGTGCAAAACAATTTCATCAAGAAGCAGAACATGGTCTCCCACTTTTAAAGTCAGATACCTTTAATATCTGACTAATGGGAGATAGTTAGAATCTATGTCTACTGCTACATTCAGACTGTTGTAGCTTCCAGTCTCTAGAAAACTATACACGTGAAAGAATGAGAGTGAAAAGAACCAAGCATCTTGGTTTTATTGTAGTGATACCTAGATACACCTTGAAGAACTTTGTCTATAATAAATCAGCAGTTGTATAGAGGTAGGGAAAGTTTGATGTAAATTGGCAGGAAACATTCTGTTATTTGTATGACCTAGGGTATGACCTTAACCTTTTTGTGTTTTGAATTCCTTGTGTATAAGAGTGGAGATAGGCTGAGCAGCA